TCGAACCACTTCATTTGTGTTCGAGCTCGAACAGCGGGATGTGCACACGCGCGGCTACTGCTGCCGCGAGGACACGAGCATTGAGGAACACCTCAGCCACGTCACTGCTCATTGTTCTGGCCCTAGCGATGTCGTGGAGAGCCACCGCAGGAGGAAGCAGGCCACGCAGTCAGACGGCGGAGGCCGCCGCTGCGACCCTGGCGCCGCGCCAGAAGCAGCCGCGTGGAGGGCCGAAGAAGGCCGCTGGCAAAGAGAGTGGTTCAGGCGACCACAACGACGAAGAGATCGTGCTGATGCAGAAGCTGACGCTCAACAACGCGCAGATGATCAGGCAGCTGTCAGGCAGCCTCTGGGACTTCTTCCTGATCCCAGGAGAGCACTCAGCAGCGGCCGCCGCGGCGGCAGCGGGCACAACCTACGCGGAGAAGGCCAAGGAGAAGAACAACAAGGACCTGGGGCCCCCGCGCCTCCACACCGGCGTCGACTTCTTTTTGGAGATGGGGCTCAACGACAAAGCCGAGGGGACCAACAAGACGATCCTGACGGAGTTCCGCATGCTGATCGACGTGCTGGGCACGCAGGGCTTCGGGGACATCGTCTCCTATTTCAAAGTCAAGAAGGCCTACAGCGAGGCGGGACAGCCAGAGAAATGGAAGCTTTACCTCATGCTCAACAGCCTCGCCTGCAGCCCGCGGACAGCAACCTGGGAGGGCCAGATCAACGCCATCCGAGAAGGAAATCAGGAGCCGCACGTCAAGATCAGCCGCGCCGCGCAGATCGGGGACCTCAGGAAAGCCATCGTGGACACACTGCGTGCGGCAGGGGCAGAGCAGATATCCGGAGCACCGCCGCCATCAGGTCTCGAGAGGAAAGTGCAGGCAGCGCTGCGGGCGCGGCAACTGGCGATGGAGGGATAGAGATGGCAGGACTGAGAGAGCTCGCCAGGGCAGGCAGCCGCAGGGCGATGGAGCTGCTGCGGCGCATGGCCCGCCCGTGACGCCCCCGCGTGCTTTGAACAGTCGAGGGCGTTAAATACATGTCTGGGAGATTTGTGAGCTAGGCGCCAAAGGGTGCCCTGTTTCCTTTTTCTTTCCTACTCTGCCTGTTGCAGAGGCCTGTCGTGAAGGTCCCCAGTGGATCATCGGTTCCAAACCACGGGATCCTGGACGCGGGGCCAGACACTAGACATGTGAGCAGCGATAGAATGCGCAGCAGCAGTATTAGCGGGTCTGGGGGGAGCGGGCAAGTGGGGAGCGGGGGTGGTGGCGGGAAGACTGCTTCACAGGGACAAGCCCTGAGTCAGGGGCGATTGGCCAGCAGGCCCTAAGCCCCTGCCGTATCCATAACATGTTTGGTTTTTTCTTACGGGAAGGCCCCGCGCTGCAGCGGGCCGCAGGGCTAAAAAAGCCAAGGGTCCCGTAGGCGGCCCGCCGAATCGCCGATTTACCGCGCTAGCAGCAACAGGGTTACATGCAATAGAACCCCAGACAGCTGCCAAGGCTTCCGACTCCGACTCCCCCTCCTCCTCCTCCTCCTCCTCCTCCTCCTCCTCCTCCTCCTCCTCCTCCTCCTCCTCCTCCTCCTCCTCCTCCTCCTCCCGAGGCCCGGTGAAGGGCGATCCTAAGACCCCATCTGCTCTGGGCCGATGTGGGCGGCCCCTGAGATCCAGGCGCTGCACTCTGTGCAGAGACAAGCGCGCTCGCCCAGCCTCGGGCCCCGCGGGGCCATCACGGAGCGGTCCCGTTCGAAGAGTGCCGCAGAGAGGAGGGGGGGCCTGGGTCCAGGGATCGGGTGGTCCTCCTCCTCCTCCTCCTCCTCCTCCTCCTCTCCTCCTCTTCCTTCTCCTCCTCCTCCTCCCTCCCTCCTTCCTCCTCCTCCTCCCCTCCTCCTCCCTCCTCCTCCTCCTCCTCCTCCTCCTCCTCCTCCTCCCCTCTGTCGGGCGCTGCGCGGCGGACGCTCGAGCGGCCCCGCGCCACCGCTGAGCGTCGCTGCACCGATCCCCCATCCCAACTGGCGTGGCCGCGGCCCCGCTGGCCGGGTTGCCCCCCGGAGACGGGGGCGTGCGATGTCTGGCGCTATGGGTACTCCAGATTTCGTAGTAAAGGGAGGGGGGTCTCATTTCGGGGAGGGGTCTCTTCCAGGCTATCTTGGAGGGCCTGGGGGTGTCTGGGAACGATGTTTGGGAGGGTTCTCCCACGGGGGAGGTCTGAAATGGCTTGCCTTGGAGGGTCCAGACCCCCTCCCTTTTATTACGAAATCTGGAGTAGGCCTGCGGCCGCGGTGTTTCGCGAGGCCGCAGTGCTTGGTCGCGGCGTCGGAGCTCGGGACGGCGCCGTCGGAGGCGCGGGCGCTCCGCGGTGCTGCCCGCGCGGGGGGGGGGGGGGCCGATGGCCCCCCCGCCCGGGAGCGCGCGAGTTCGCCTTCGGGGCGCCCGTCGCCGATCTGTCGGCGAGGCGTCGCCGGTTCCGGCGCGGCTCCTCCCCGCCCCCGGGGGGCCCTAATTAGGAGGGCTAGAAAATTAGCACCCGACCTAAAAACCTGTCCCAGAGCTATTATACGTCTTGGTTTTAGGCTGTTTCGTTCAGTGTTTTAGGTTTTTAGGTCTCCAGTGCTAAAAAATAGCTCTCTGGAAGGTCAGGGAAAGAGGGGGGTAGTGACTGGGGGGGGTGGATCTCATGGCGGGGGCCATGACATTTCCCCAGATGTTATGGCGCCTCTTCCTGTTTCATGACGTCCCTGGCCCCCCCGCTGGGCCGCGCACATGCCGCCGGTCATGATTTGCACCCCCCCTCTTGGACACCCCCCTCTTGGCCGCTCCCGAGCCACGAAAGGACGGGGCCGACTTCTCCCACGTCGTAGGCAGTTTTCTCACACTGCATCTGTTGTCGCGGCGTCCGGCCGCAGCGCCCGACCTCCAGCCGCACCGAGGTGTCTCGCTGGAGGCGTGCTGTCTTCGTCGTCCGAGGGGCTGGCTGCTGGGCCCCAGAGAGGCTGTCGAGAAACGACTCGGGAGGACAAACCGACCCAGGGGGGAGGAGGAGGAGGAGGAGGAGGAGGAGGAGGAGGAGGAGGAGGAGGAGGAGGAGGAGGAGGAGGAGGAGGAGGAGGAGGAGGAGGAGAGGGGAGGAGGAGGAGGAGGAGGAGGAGGAGGAGGAGGAGGAGGGGAGGAGTGTTTCGGAACCACGTGAGGTCGGTTCGGGGAGGGCACCCTGGTGGTCTGCGAACTTGTGGGATGCGTGTGCGCCTCCTGGGGGGAGGGTGCCCTCGAGTGTTCTCCGCGTGCTTGGGCCAGCGGAGGGTCTCTCGTGTTCTTGAAGGATGGTAGTTCTTACGTTCGAGGTCCAGCCGTGTTGGAACACGTCACCACGGCGAGAGATTGGGCAGGGGGCCCGGGAGGGGAGGAGGAGGAGGAGGACAAGGGGGGAGGGGCGGAGGCTGGCCTTCGAGCGCCCCGCCTGGATTCGCGGCGAATTCCTTGTCAGAAGACCAGCATTCAGGACAAGTCCAGGGGCTGGTTTTGAAAAAGAGAAGGCAAGAGCTCCTCCTCTTCCTCCTCCTCCTCCCTCCTCCTCCTCCTCCTCCTCCTCCTCCTCCTCCTCCTCCTCCTCCTCCTCCTCCTCCTCCTCCCCATGAGAATCAGGTAGGAATCTTTCGATGAGAAAACAACTGCGGAGCAGGAGGAGGAAGGTGGACCGCGCAGGAGCCCGCTCCCAGATGCAGGGGGGAGGGGCATCGGGACGGGGAGGTGCCAGTGCCAGGAGAATGGAAACCAGAAGGGGGAGGAAGATGGTTTGGGGAGGGGCCGGGGGGGGGACCAAACGAGTCCTGGGGAGGGCGAGGAGGAGCCCCTAGGCGGGTGCGGAACACAGAGTATATACAGTCAGCCCGCACAGTCAGGACGGGCAACCTTCCCAAGGGTGCCCTTGCATCCTTGCCTCCTCGGCCCATGCTTGGCGACTTTCGTTGGCCACGCCCCGCCGCTCGAAAAGCTTTCAAGTAGCCTTCCAAGGCCCTTGCATCTTTTTCGTGCGTCCTTATTGTACAGGTTGACTGTAGGCGAGAGGAGAATGAGGAGAAGGACAAGGAAGCGCAATTTGTAGCAGGAGGAGGAGGGAGAAACGACGACGACGACGACGACAGCTGTTGACAGCGACTAACGATGTTGACGACGACGTTGACGGCGATGCCGACGACGACGACGACGACGACGACGACGACGACGACGACGACCCAGTTGTCGACGACGACGACGTCGGCGGCGAGGCCGGCGATGTCTGGAGGTTTCTGGGGGCTCCCGCGGCGCCTCGGAGGCCTCCCTGGGCTGGCGCGCGCTCTCGGGATGTCCGAAGACCTCGGCCAGGGGCCCCCCGTGGGGCCAACAACGGGCCCGAGTGGTGCACGCTTCCCCCCCCATGCATCGCCTCCTCCTCCTTCCTCCTCCTCCTCCTCCTCCTCCTCCTCCTCCTCTCCTCCTCATCCTCCTCTCCTCCTCCTCCTCCCTCCTCCTCCTCCTCCTCCTCCTCCTCCTCCTCCTCCTCCTCCTCCTCATCGCCTCCCCATCCTCGGCATCGCTCGGACGTGTGCATTTTTCCCTCGGAGAAGACCATCGAGGAGCATCCTTGATCATTCGGCGAAAAAAACACGCACGAAGCCGAAACAAAACCACAGGGAATGGAGGTCCGAGCGATGGCCAGCATCAGGCAGCGCCCGAGGCAGAGAGCTTGAGCCTGCTGCTGGCACGGGGCCCCCAGGCTCAGCCCAGCTCAGCTCGCCGCTTCCTCCCCGAGGGGGGGGGCTGTGGGAGGCTTCTGCCGGCGGCGACGACGCGCCAGCCGCCGCCCCGCGGCGACGCGCCGCGGCGACGCCCAGCCGCCCCACCGCCGGCCCGAGGCACGACGCCGCCGCCCGTGCCCTCCGCGCCGCCGCCGGCGGCGGGCGTGAGGCGCGGAGTCTCGCCGGCGTCCGCGGCGCCCGCGCCCGGGGAGGCGCTGCGGCGGCCAATGCCCTCCAGGCGGCCGCCGACGACGACGACGACGACGACGACGACGATCGGACGAAGCTGGGACGGGGATGAGTACGTTCCAGAGCGTTTCGGAACGCTCTCAGAGCGCGCCGGATCGCTCTGAGAAGGCCGCGGATCCTCAAGATTTGCTGGATCTCAGAGATGTTCGATATATCTTTGATTACCAGATGTTATCCTCGTCCTAGCTTCGTCTTAGACGACGACGACGACGACGACGACGACGACAACGATGCCACGACGCGACGACGGCGACGGCGACGGCGACGACGGCGACGACGACGACAACGACGACGTCGACGACAACGACGACGTCGACGACGACGACGCGATGACCATGACGACGACGACGACGCCGACGCCGACTGCAACAACGACGACGACGACGACACGACGACGGACGGACGAAGCGAGGACGAGGATAAATCCGTCGCAGACCATTTCGAAACGCTCTCAAATCGTTCCGGAACGCTCTGAGAAGGCCGCGGATCTTCCAGATCTGCCGAGTCTCAAAGATTCTCCTTACCAGATTGTATCCTCGTCTTCGCTTCGTCTTAGACGACGACGACGCGACGACTACGACGACAACGACGATTTCGTCGACCATGACGTGACGACGACGACGCCGACGCCGATTGCAACGACGATCGGACGAGGCTCGGAAAAGGGTGAATCCGTTGCAGTGCGTTTCGGAGAGTTCTCAAAGCGCTCCGGATCGCTCTGAGAAGGCCGATGATCCTCCAGATTTGCCTGGTCACAAAGAATCTCGACGACGACGACCAGGACGCCACGACGCGATGACACGACGACGAAGACGTCACGACGCGACCACGACGACGACGACGACGATGCCGCCGCCGCCGTGGCCGACGACGACGACGACGACGCCGACGCCGACGAGGGCGACGACGATAACGACAACAACGACGACGACGACGACGATAACGACGACGACGACGAGGACGACGACGACGACGACGGGACGACGACGACGACGACGACGACGACGACGACGGGACGAGGACGACGGCGACGACAACGACGACGACGTCAACGACGCGACGACGACGACGACGATTTCGACACGACGACGACGACGACGACTTGAAGACGACGACGACGACGACGACTACGACAGCGACGACGCGACGACAGCGTCGACGGCGATGACGATGACTACGCGAAGACGACGACGAGCGATGACGACGACGACGTCGCGACAACGACAACGACGAAAGAGAAGGAGAAATCAACGACGACGACGACGCCACGACGTGACGACGACGACGACACGACAAAGATGACGACCCGATGACGCGACAACGACCACGACGACGCCGCGGCGCGACCACAACAACGACGACAACGACGACGATGCCGCCCCTGCCGCCGGCGCCGCCGACAACGACGACGGCGACGACGACGACGCGACGACGACGACGACGAGACGACATCACGACCACAACGACGACGCGACGACAGCGACGACGAGGCGACGATGTGACGATGTTGACGCCACGACGCGACGTCGACGACGTCTCGACGACGACGCAACGACGACGCGACGACGACGACGACGACGACGACCTCGACGACGACGACGACGACGAAGCCGACGACGGCGACGACGACCACGACGACACGACGACGACATTGATGACGGCGACGACGACGACACGACGACGGCGACGCGACGTTGACTACGACGACGACGCGCCAACGACGACGACGACGACGACGACGACGACGACGACGCCGACTGCAACGACGACGCGTAGACAGCATCGACGACGACGACGATGACGACGACGTCACGACGACGACGACGACGCGAAGACGACGACGACGACGAGGACGACGACGCCACGACGCGACGACGACGAAGGACGACGCGAAGGCGACGCGACGAATCGATACCGCGAAGACGACGACGACGACGACTCGACGACGCGACCGCGACGACGACGATGACGCCGCCGCCGCCTGCGACGACGACGACGACGACGACGACGCGACGACGCGACGACAACGACGCGAAGACGACGACGACGACCACGATGACACGACCACAATGACCGCGACGACGACGCGACGACGACCGCGACTCGACGACGCGACGACGACGCGAGGACGACGGCTACGATGACGACGAGACAATGATGACAACATGACGACGCCGACGACGACGCAACGACGACGACGACCACGACGACGACGACGACGACCACGACGACGACGAGTCGACGACGACGATGACGACGCCACGACGCGACGACGACGCGACGACGACTCGACGACGACGCGACGACGACGACGCGACGACGACGACGATTGTGACCACGACGACGACGTGGTCGACGACGACCACGACGACGACGACGAAACGACGACGACGCCACGACGACGACGACGACGACGACGACGCATCGACGACGACGCGACGACGACTCGACGACGACGACGACGACGACGACGACGACGACGACACAACACCGACGACGACGACGCGACAACGAGGACGACGACGACGGCGACGACGACGACAGCGTCGACGACGACGACGCGACGACGACGACAACGACCGAGACGACGACGACGACGACGACGACGACGGCGCGACGATGACAACGACGATGACGTTGACGACGCCGACGACGACGACGCGACGACGCGACGAACCCACGACGCGTCGACGACGATGCGACTACGACGACGCGACGACGACGACGACGACGACGACGACGACGCGTTCACGACGACGTGACCACGCCGACGGCGACGCGTCGACGACGGCGACGCGACGACGACGCGACGACGCGACGACGACGCGACGACGACGATGACGACGACGACAGCGACGACGACGACAACGACGACGACGACGCTACGTCTTGACGACGAAACGACGACGACGCCGCGATCCGACGACGACGGCAGCGTCGCAACGACGACGACGACGACTCGGCGATGACGCGACGACGCGACGACGACGACGACTCGACGACGACGTTGTCCACCACGACGAGGACGACGCCGCGACGACGACGATGACGACGCGACGACGCGACAGCGATGTCAACGCCACATCGCGAGTCGACGACGACGACGACGACGCGACGGTGACGACGACGACGACGACGACGACGACGACAACGCGACAATGCCACAACGACGGCGAAGGCGCGACAACGACAAAGACGACGACGACGCCACGACTGCGATGACGACGACCCGACGACGAAGACGACGACGAGAGCGACGACCATGACGACGACGCGGCGACGACGACGACGACGACGACGACGGCGGCGACGACGACGACGACAACAAGGCGACGACGATAAGGCGACGACGACGCGACGACGACGATGACGCGACGACGACGATGATGACGACGACGACGACGACCGACGACGCGACGCCACGCCGCCACGACGCGTCGACGACGTCGATGACGGCGCCTCGACGACAAGTCAACGACGACGACGACGACGACGACGGCGAGGTGGCGACGACGATGCGACGAACGACGCCACTACGACGACGGCGTCGACGCGTCGTGGTCGTCGTCGTCACCGTCGTCGTAGTGGCGTCGTGATCGTCGCGTCGTGGTCGTCGACGCGACGACGACGACGCCACTACGCGACGACGACGGCGGTGGCGACGATCACGACGACGGCGTCGCGAGGACGACGGCGACGACGACGACGACGAGGACGCTGACGACGTCGACGACAACGTCGCGACGCCGACGACGACGACGCGATAACGACGACAACGCGACGACGACGACGACGACGCGACGACGCGACGACGACGACGACGACGGCGACGCGACGACGACGATCCGACGACGACGCGACGACGACAGGGACGACGACGATGACAACGACGGCGCCGCAACGACGACGACGACGACGACGACGCCACGATGGCGACGACGACGACGCGACGATGACGACGACGCGACCACGACGACGACGACTCCGACGCGACAACGACCACGATTTGGCCACGACGCGACGACGACACGATAACGACGACAACGACGACGACGACGCGACGACAGCGACGACGACAACGACGACGACACGATGGCGACGACGACGTCGACGACGACGCTGACCATGACGACGACGACGACGACGCGACGACGACGATTCTACCACGCCACAACGCGACGAGGACGACGACGACAACTCGACGATGACGCGATGACCACGACGACGACGACGACGACGCGACAACGCGACGACGACAACGACGACGCCACGACGACGACGACGACGACGACTCGACGACGATGACGCTGACGCCGACGACGACGACGACGACGACTCGACGACGACGACGACGACGATGACGACGCCATGACGACGACAACTCGTTTTCGTCAGGAAGCAATCGGGTTCCGAGGTTGTTCACCGTTGTCGGCCTCCGTGGGCTCTTCGCGGGCCCGGGGGCTATATGAGAGCAGCGAAGCACGAAAAGCTCGGCCTGGGGGAAGGTGCTGGGGTCCAGGGACCTTTTCCCTCCGGACCCGTTCGCTTCGTGGCAAGTCGCGTGTTGGCGGTACTCGATCATCGGGGTTGGCGACGAGCATTGGAGGTGGCCACAGGCGAGGTGGTCACACAAAATATGGCACCACATACACGGTAGCTTGCGCCACGTAGATCGAGCCACGTGTATATTTACCCCGAAAAAGAATTACACACGATCCCCCCCAGATGAGGCCGGGGTCGGCACTTCCCCTCGGAGTATTCATTTTTCAAGTTGCTCTTCATTGTGCACTGTCGTTCCTCCTATGCGTATATATATATATACATAGATAGATATGTAAAAGTCAACCGGGCCAGCATCGCATTTCCCGTCGTCCTTCGCAAATCGGGATCCGTGCGGTGCACATGCGGTAGTCTAGGAATTGCGTATGTGTAAGAATATCTTACGCGAACAAACATTATGCGGGGCACATGCGCGTGCCGTGCGCATGT